GATAAAAAATTTTGTAAATAACACTTAGGCTGAAAGTTTATTTTCGTATTTATATTATCTAACGGGTGAGTTAAGTACGCACACAAACAAAGTAGAATGTGGGCGCCGCTTGTTATATTTCATAAGATTATCATAATAGATACAGATTATTATTAATAATGTATAATATTATTATACAAGAGCGCAGTGAAATCGCGTATATTGCATTTTTTTTTTTTTTATAACAACGGAAATTTATACAAAGGAATATTTATAGGAATTTTTATTTGGTTGAGGAAAGTTTATCAATTTAATTTAAAGATCCTTAATAGTAAAGAAGGAATAGGTGTGATATTAAAAATAATTGATAAAGAATGGTAAAATAATTATAAATATTTTCAATAAAAATATTAAATTTGTTCTATAAAATGATTTATTCAGTTAGAAAGACAAATAAATTAAGTACCTTAGCTCTTAAACCTTGAGCTCGCGTCTATAGTAAATTACAATATAATAATAATTAATATTGTACCCATTAGATGGTAATTCGTAATTTAAAAATGTTTGTTGAATTTATTCAGAACCCATACGACACGAGTACGTATACAAGTAAAAATTATTTGAAACTAATTTATGGGTTTTCAGGAAATTAAATAAAAAACAATTGATATGTTATAGCGTTTAAGTTAATAATAATTTATAACCAATTTAGTGTTTTTATTTTAGCATTAGAGAATTTGTAAGCAGTATTATAGTAGGACTATATTTTGTAAAATGTTGCCGGTTTGAATTAAACTTTCATAAATTTAACGGTGGTTTAACGATTAAACCTTAATGGACCGATTCCTGGTCACTAATTGATGTCTAAAAGGGTTTGATAAATATTTAAGGATCCGTGTTAAAGTTTGTGTAACGGAAGTCTGCAGAACTCGGCAAAACATAAGTGTTTTGGTTGTACATATATTATATTATAATGAGCGTCATCAGAACAGCGTGATGCACAGTTGACAATCATTTGCAGACGATTATTATTTTATATATTTTTTAACTATGCGTGTGTTGATAGATCAAGAATGTCTAACTTTATCTGAAATAAGCATAATAGAGTATATGGCGTTGATGTTTCTTTGATTTAATCCCTCTGCATCATGTGTAACTTTGTCACAAGCCCAAAACTAATAAAATGTATTTATTCATAATATATATATATATGAAAGTCAGTATGACATAGATAGACCGCTCATGTGTATAAGTCAAATAGCTTAACCACAAATAGAAATCTAAAATTTAGAAAAAAAACCTTTTTCTTTTTTAATTTATTATATTATAATATATACTTAGAATTAATAATAATAGTTTTAAAAAAATGTTTATATATATATATTAAGAAATTGTATACTATTTATTTCTAAATAAACATTTTAAAAGCAAAACATTGTATATAATGAGTAATAATAAATGTTTAAAAAAAATTATATTATCCGTTAAATAAATATAGTTTTTTGATTATTATTTAAAGACCATTTATATAAAATATAATTTGTATATTTTATATACAATAGCCCATATACACAGTGTCGCCGCAACTAATAGGTGTTGCCATGGTGGTCTTTGGGGGTGCCACACATCCCCAATTAAGGCCATCATGTCATGTAATATACCAGGCCGATTAATTAAACTTTTAGTTTTTAAGTAAATTATTATTATTTTTGCTATTGAAATATTGTATTTGTAATCAGCCGGACCACAAAAAGTTTATGTTCAAAATGTTCAAATGTAACTTTTAAAACGTACCGACAGATTTTTAAAAATTATAATATTTTGAATTGACCTCATAAAATATGTTTTCACTTGCATTCTTGCTGATAAATATCTAATTACTCGTAGTTATGTGTGTACCTTTTACTATAAAAGTATGAAAAGAAAAATAACAGTAGTTGGAAGTAGCGCGCACTACTTTTTAGTTTTTTAAGTAATACTATATAATATCTATTTGAATTTTTTTGTTTTGATAGTAGATATATAGCGTTTAGTAAAATGAATTTAATGATACATAAATTTAAAACTATCTATCTTTTACAAACCTTTATAGTTTCAAACTTTTAAAAATCTACATTTTATACTAAGTTAAAACAAATAAGATTCGTTCTTTATCTAATTTTATAATGTTTTACGTGGTATACTAATATACTATATGCTGTATATTTTATTATATTATTGTAATAATATGCGGTAAATTAAAATAATATAAATGCCGTGCATGATGTTTTGAAAAGTACATTTTTGTGACTTGTGAACACGGGTAGATTAAACAGTTATATTTAATATTATATTTATTTTCTAGTCAGTGATTTTAGATATATTATTTTTTAATGATAAGCTTATTATGAAATATATAAAAAGTTGCAACAATTATAACACATTTTTATATATAATTATTTGTAATTATATCCCACTGACCACTGGGTACATCAAAAAATATTGAATTCTAACCACCGATCAAAATAACATAATTTATTACGTCATGATGAATAGTTAATCTATACCTGCTTTATTGATGAAATAAGTTTTTATATCGTTTAAATTACAATTAATAACCACAGTTTATAGATATTTTTATATTATTATCGTATATGTGTATTTCACGACGTTATTTATACGAAAAATAAATTTAATTCGATAATTTAGCAATTAAAAAAAAATATTAAACAATACTAAATAAATAAACAATGGATTAGATTTCTTAAATTTTTCCATCAACCAAGAATTAAAGTTAGTCATTTCATCATCAGAATTCAATTTTACTCTGAATATCCGTTATACTTCATGAAAGTTATCTCAGACATCATTTCAGTAATTCACACACAACCGCCCTCACAAATACCATTTACTACTAAATACACTGAGTTGATTTCATTAAAAAAATCTACAAATTTCTAATTTATATACAACATTTTCTTATAAAATGATTTATGAAAACAATGATGAAAATATATACACATTTATTCAAGAAAAGGTGTAGGCGCAGCAGTAATATGGAAAACATCGAGTGCAAAATTAAACTCTATCATTCGTGTTTATATGTACAGCAAAATTAATCATGGTACTAAAAGCTCTTAGTCTAATTAAAAAATTCAACCATATTATCTGATTCTCTTATCGCTAAAATTAAATAAAAATGACATCACAAATATACAATATAATTTTTCAGATATTAATATTATATAAGTAAAAAATTGTATACACAGTATATTATTCAAATAAAACTATGTTGGGTACTAGGTATGCGACATTGAGGGGCAATGAAAAAGCAAATTTATCAGTAGAAGGTAAAAAGAGACACTTTTAACATCCTAAATTTCAATAATACCCAAAATCAACATAAACCTATTGTGTAATAAGATCAAATTGGAACTCCTCATATAAAACTAAATAAAATAAAACGTAACACAGTGGACATATCTCAGAAGATTCTTGGAAAACTCAAAGTAGTAATAATCAGTTATCGGCCATACCCATCTTAATCTAACACACTGCAGATCTCTTATTGATAGTAAAGAACATACAATGTGTTTTTCATGCAAAATTCAGCTTAAAGCAAAACATATTATAACTGAATTTCGCACGTCTTTAAAAATAAAACACAATCTTCTAAATCAAATATAACTCCTTACATCACAATAACCGTAAAGTCAAAGGTCACAAAAATAAAAATATCAATCTTATATCTAAGGCAAAAGACTTATAGGAGTTTGCATGTTTTTCAATAATCATTCAAAAAATAATTAAGTAATAAAGAAATTTGTTTCTCAGTACTAGAAATTTTAAGTAATCATTTTTTATCTTGCTATTTTTTTCTTTTTAAGTGCATATTTTGTTATATTTGTATTTAAAGTACATATTTCACATATTTTATTAAAAAAATAATTATTTCAAACAATAAGGTGACATACACTGAAGAAAATAATATTTAACATGTACCATACAATATTTAATATTAACCTTCTAGAAATTAAATTAATAGATTAATAAAATTATAAATAATTAAATATCCATCTACCGTGTGTTTTCCCAATTATCCGTTTATTGTGAAAAACATGATCAGTCGATAAGCAATACGCCGAATTCAGTCAGTTTATGTCAAATTCATTTATTTCGTCTGTGTTTCGTCTTGCGTTGATTTAGTTGGTACTTGGTATCTATAATATTCTAGACTAAGTAAAGTTTTTGTTGTGGAAATTATAAACGCTTAATTTAATAATAAATTAATTTATAATTTTTGATTTTTTAATGAAAAATATATTTTTGCATTTTTGCATATTTTTTGAGCATAATATATTATAAGTTTTAAGAGCATAAATGCGTGCATATTTTAAGGTTTTTTAGAGCATGAAGTCCCTAGCCCTACGGATGTCTTTTACGGCGTCAGTGCATCAGACTGCTTATTCCGCAGGACTGGGTTAAAAAACTTTATGATAACAGAAGATTGAAGTTAATAAAGACTACATTTTTACATCTATTATTTACAATGCAATAATTTCAATAAAATAAATATATATTCATTAAATTTGATACTATTAAAAGATTAAGTTGACGTATTTACATTGATAAAATTCTACTATAAAAAAACTATTTTATTAAATGTATATCATAGTTATTTTTTTTTTAAATTTGTCTTTATCAATTATAAAATGAATTAAATAATAATGTTACTTTAACATAATATTGACTCATATAGTCATATGGATATGGCAATACATTTTTAAAAATTCAATATTAAAAATTTAATATATTTTATGAATTATGTGTTGTATTAATTATTATGTTTAATATTTAAGCATATTCAATAGTCTATAGGTTAATGACACAAAATGAAAGCAACACTATATTTGTATGATATAATTATATGTGTTTTACTATTATGAATTATGATAAGATTAATGTATATAATATGTGCACTAAATTTATGACTTTTTTTTTTGTATACATCAAAATGAATATATTGTATGTTATGATTGCAGCGGACGTAATACCCACGACTGCAGTGATGTTAAACAACAATAACAACAATAACAACAACAACAACGGCATCGGTAGTCATCTACAACAGCATCACCATAATCATTATCTTCATCAGCACCAACATCATCATGTTCAGTCGTTGCCGTCTACTACGCAGAATAATAACATGACGGCGACAGCAGTGGCTACAACAACAACAACAGCGGCGGCGTCGGCGGCTATAGCCGCCACAGTCACGGCAACGGCCGCTCCACCACCGGTACGGAAGAAGTCGCGGAAAGATGTGCCGCCATCGTCGTCGCCGGGTCTACTTGTGAGCTCGTCTTCCGGTTCGCCGGCTGGACAGCTGGCTGGAGAGAGTGACGGTGGCCACTCGTCCGACGGTTGTGGTGACCGGAAGCGGAAGAAAGCGCGGACCACGTTCACCGGTCGGCAGATATTCGAGTTGGAAAGACAATTCGAGCTGAAGAAGTACCTCTCGTCGTCCGAACGATCCGAAATGGCAAAAATGTTGGGCGTCACCGAGACACAGGTAAACAATAACTACTAAACACACCACTACGCTGTTGCGTATAATCGCAAATTAATCAAAAATATTAGGCGGGGGTTAAGCATCAAACAAATTTTAGAACAAGGGTGGTTATTGGGGTTCATATCGAATATGAGGATATATCATTTTGGATGTGACCCACTTAATTATAATGCATTTCATTCGTAAAATAATTTGAGTTGGCCTCCCTGGTTTTCGAAGAAACAAATCAGTAGGAAGATTTGTTCCTCACGTTCTTCATTTATTTTACCACATTATCTCTCAATTATATTTAGATTTTATCTTAATTAATAAAATTAAATAATTTGTAGAATTAAATCAAGTATCAAGTATAGCATTTTATGCAAAACAAATTATTTGTATTTATTAATAACTAATAAATATTAATTATTCTAGACAATTACAATGTGGGTACACCTATTTCCAGATTATTTATTTAAAATAATTACATTATTATTAGGACTATATTTCTTTCGATGTGAATAAAAGATTATTGATAAGTCCGTTAGTTCACCATGACCCATAGTGGTAAGTGTTCAAGATTTTAAATTATTATTTAAGGGATTCTGAGCACCTACAGAAATGTTCTAATTTACACCAATGCACTATTGATTATTATACATATGTGGATGGTGTATTTAGTATTGCAATATTTTAATAAATTGTTAAACCTACTACCTAGAAATAACATCAATAGACAATAGTAATAATGTGTTTTTAAAAAGTTATGGTAATAATCGTATATTCGCATATAAAATTCGTAAAAAACTTCAAATTGCATTGAATAACATACACACACACAAACATTTTATTAATCCCAAAAGTATCATCTTTGCTCATATAAAGTAACTCATTGTAACTCATAATTTGACAAAATATTTTAAATTTAAAATTACTTTTCTTGAAAATTACACATTTTTTGATTTAAGTTGCTTATACCAAGTATTAAAAAATTATCACAATAATTATTATTTTAATAATTATCATGGGTAGCAGTTGGTATAATGGTCGGCGGCTGTAAAATAACTATATAAAACTTCTATTTGATTATGGTGCGCGCGGTTACGGGTCACGACACTCGTTCATAAATCTTCATTACCGTCGCCGCTGCTGCTCTCATTATTATTGTTATTACTTATTATCGTTGTCTCTATTATATCTTATACAGGTATTAATCGGCGACGATCGTGTAATGTTTGTTTGTAAACGTAATCGAAAATCGTTTTGTTTTCAAATAATAAACAATAAATAATAAATGAACGCAGCAGTTAGGTAATTTAATTTATATTATAAATATTATTATTATACTGTATAGAAGGTAGTCCGTAATTCAGTAGCCGCATAACAGACCGACCGATGAATTATTTACGCCTTCGCGCGTAAAACAATAATTTTTTTCACACGATTTTTATTTCCCAATCATTCTTTATTATTATCAGCGACGTTTATTGTTATAAGTTATATGTTATTTGCGCTGTTGGCATAATATATACAACTTATCATTTAATCATATAATAGTATTCTTAATGTGTGCACAGCAATATTGTAAATAGTAGTTCAAACTATATATAGTATATAAACCGTTTGAAATAAATTGAACGTTAAAAAATGACTAATTGCTTGGTTCTATGCCAATAACATTTCTTCATCGTGTTATTATGTAATAGCATGCACGAGGTTTTTGATTGAGCATAGACCGTTTTAACTTAAATATTATATGTGCGTATTATTAAATCGAAATAAGTATGCATGTGTTTTTTCGTCCCCGCAAAGATTATTATAAAAAGTTTTTATTTAATAATTCGGTGTTGCTGGGAAAACTACGAAAATTTGTTAAATTTAATGCAATAATAGCAAAGCAAATTCTAAATGTTTAAAAACACATATCAATTATTTAGGCATTTAAAGCTTTAAATCGTTCGGTTTGGTCGCAATCGTATATTTATTATATACTTAAATGTCATACTTAAGATATAAAATTTAAAAATTTTGCATCAGTTAATTTTAGGTAAAAAAAATTAAATTTTCTGTACATGGGTTCAATATTATAAAATATGACTATTATTTCTCGCTATACTGAGACAGATGTATAACAGGCTTCGGGTAATGACGTAATATAAGTATATAAAATACATCATGCATGTAATAATAATATATGATCTCAATGATTATCGAGTGCCTGTAATGTATCTACTAAACTGAAAGAGTCTTAAACAAGATAATGAATGTATAAACGTTACGCAATTGCAGAGAGAACTAAAAAACATACTATTTTAGGACTTTATCGACTAGCAGCTTTTCAAATAAATTCTTACAACAATGTCGATTGTTGTTTACACAGCGTATAATAACGAAAATAACAAATATTTACGCGTGAATAGTTCTGGGAACTTTTTTTTTTGCGTTCTCTTCCACAAATCCGGAATCGCAAAAGACGAATAAAAATATAATGTCGCCAAGGAAATTTTCGTTGTGGTTTCTTCGAAAAATAGATAAGTTAACGACCAAGCTGCAACGGCGGCCTGAGTTGCTATCACAATATCACAATTAAATAATTAATTAATAAATAGTTTTTATTATCACATTATTATCACACACGTCGCACACCAGTAGACCGTTTAATAATAAAACACACTAGTCACGTATTTTTAACGCGTTTTTTCTTTACTTTGACTCTCACTATAAAGCTATGAACGTATTCGTTTTCGTACAATAACTGTTGCTTTAGTGACTATAATATGATATATTTATATGTATTATGTATTCAATATTTTTTTTCTATTTTTAATCTTTGTGATCGTGTGCGTGTCACAAGAATACGAGATCCTGCGGAAAGTTGATCCTAATTAATAAATAAATCGGTTTCGGATATCACGCGTATACTATGCAGTTTATTTTTTATTATAATTTATAGTATTTATATGTTATACTGTATATTATAATAGGTACACCTATATTGTACGTACAACACGTTTATTTCATTTCGTGCATGTTCGCCGCCACACCTTTTTGTATCTTCTCATCCCGTAAAAATATCACGAGCCTACCTGCGCGTATAGTTCCGGTCGTAACACGTTAGGGTTTATTGACCTAAAATAGAACCCATTTATATTGATTAAAATATATTATATTCAATATATTCAATTTGGTCGTTGTTGTCTATAAATATATATTTCGGGTTTCTAGAGCACTATAGATTTTTATGTGTACTTATAGAATTTTGGTTCAAAAATATTATACCTATGTAGTGTTGTAATTAATATTTGTGTAGAATATTACGTTATCTTTATTAGTTTAATTTGAAATATTTTTTTTATTAAAACAAAAGTATATTTATATTAAGTGAATTTGGTAGTTTTACATTAACATGAAGTAATGTAGCTTACTAGTTTGGAAACCCTTTAACTTGTAGGGAGAGAACTCAGAGAACTAGATAAGTTTAGTTCAGTTAATTAATTAATACAGGTCAAGATTCAAGGGACCTCAATACCAATGTCTTTTTAATCGTCGTGGGGGAATATCTGGAATATATTATTCATTAGCTAAGTTAGATAATATTGATTTTTGTGATTGATTGATTTGATGTGGAATTATTTGTAGTAGTTTTTACTTTTATTGCTATAATAGAAACTGTTTTAATTTTTATGTCTTTGTGTAATGAAAGGTTTTAGACTCACCATGATTCAGACGTTTTTAATTTCATATTTAGGTGGTAATGTGGTATTGTACTCATATTTTTTACGTATAAATGCACAAAAGAACAACATTTATATTCATTTTAGATTTAATTATGGTACTTATGGACAATATAGGTATTTTTTATTTAGTTATATTATATTTTTATGTATTTAGTACTTTTTTGTGGTACATTTTCAATTACTAAATTTTAAAAATATATAATCTTATAAACATAATAATTAATATTATATATAATAAAAAAATATTGCTTTGTCTTATATAACCTGTGCGTTCCATACGTTCTAGCTCATGCAATAAGTTAATATATCTATTATTCACTTATATTATAATTTTACAGGTGCTTACAAGATAGATTTTAACGATGGAAATTTCGTTTTCTAGTCTCAATGGGTCCAGTTGTATAATAGTAAAAATTTAACTAATTCAAACGGGTCCTCCAAGTAGTTTTCACAAATACAATGTTGGGGTTAAATCATAATGTATTTTTTGAAAAATAACATTAAAGAACGATTGGCTATCATTATAGGATATTATGTATATTTCATGTATCTATGTACCTAAACTATGTACAATATTTGATATGAGATAGTCAGTGGTGCAACTTGATGATAAGGAGGACGTGTAAAAATTTCCAGACTGGGCCCTTACCTGCTAATAAAAATGAAAAACAGTCATACCTTATTATAATTCTAAAAAAACATTGTTTTCTGACATTTTATAGTTAACGATTATTAGTTATATTTAATTTTATATAAAATCAAACATAAAAATTAACTCTTCACGTTTTCACTTAAGTCTTTAATTTTTTTTGTTTCAGTCATTCCAGTACCTATACTGTATTACTGTATACAACTATACGGTACACAGTTTTCCCACATAGATTAGTACTCATAATTCGAATTCTCAAAACTCAAAAGAGTAAAGACATTATTATTTATTATATTAAAACAAATAATATAATACGTATATGTGTACGTATATTACAGATTATGGTAGAAATATCGTAAATGAGATCTAGGGATCTCCCAAAACCATAAGGGCTCCTGTGAAGTGCACACCCAACACTCCTGATAATTCCGCCACTGGAGACAGCTTATTAGCTTTAGAATCTAACCCTTTTTGAAACACCACGTAAAGAATTTGAAATTTTATGTTCTACCAAAAATATTTTTGTTACGTTTATTTCCTCGTCAAAGCTAAAAGTTGTAATTTTTATCCGGTTTATAATATTTTTGATTCAAGAATATTTTTAAAGAGATAAACAACTTGTTTACCAGTTTTAG